TGTAAGACCAGTTTGAAGGCAGATTGAGGAGACAGATCCTGTTGTGGCAAGCTCCCCAGCCAGAGTCCAGGGAAGGCCCTGCTATCAGCCCCTTACTGGCTCTTTGAATTTTCTCCTGCTGGGTAGAGGGCTGCAGCCTTCTCACCTGTACTGTTCAGAGAATGATATACAATAGCCATGTTTTTGGTTTTGAATGAGTAAGTTTATTAAGTATATAGCAAAGCAAATATAATAAATAGCAAATGATATAGATATAGATATAGATAGGTAGATAGGTAGATCAGACAGATAGACAGACAGACAAGGCATCCACAAATTAGGTACTCAAAACATTCAACAGAGATAGACTGAAGTCCCTTTAAAGTAGTCAGTTAGAGTTCTCCATGAAGAGAGTCCCCTCTGGTGAGGCTTCCAAGTGAAAGAACAAGTAACAGCAGAAAAGAGACATCATCAAATCAGGGGCTCACAATCATCCAGCAGAAATCGACTGCAAAAGCCCCTTTAAAGCATTACGCTGGAGCTCCCTCAGAGAGTTTCCCACAAAGGGCCCCATGCAAGTCCCACCCAAGACAGAGGCAGCTGGACCATAGGTCTTCCACACCATTTCTTTGGTTGGCTGTGGAAAGTATTCTCCGTCTAGGGGCCTAGGATGTCTCTCAGGCACTTCACTCCAAGACTGAATGATGGGTTTTGCAAAGAAATTGTTACTAGAGAAACAAACAGCCTCTTTTACAATTTTCTTTATCCTAACTCATCATTTAAATATGCATATCTAGAGTTCTGAATGTCATCTCGAAGGAACTATTCTTGCTCTTAAGGAACTTCCATGCTAAAATTGCACATGAGACAGAGGAGACAGACACAGAGAGACACTATGCTTTTCTTTTTTTGGTAAGGGTTGACGGAAACACAGTAGAGGGAGAGAAAATAGAAAAGAATAAAGAAAGATCAGCACAGTGGCAGATGAAAAGAGCCCGAGAAAGAGTAAAGAACTTGGTGGGGTCTGTCTCCAAGAAAGGATTCTAAAGCTGCACAACTATTTGTTTATTTCTGCACATGGAACTAGCCATTTTATGCAACTGATAAAATTGAAGACAATTACACCAAATTGAGCTTTAATTTTGGATTGAAAGTGTGATTCTTCCACTGAGAACTCCCTCTCACAACATCTAAAATGACTAACACTGCAAAAGGCACCAAGAGCCATCAGCCTAGATACATGTGAGCTTATTGCTTGTCAAAAATGAAAACACTGATAAGATCCTCCTCCTGCAGGGGCATTAGAAGTCTAGACAAGATGCAGATTAAGGAAGCACCCCAAGGAGTGTTATTTAAAGCATTTGCTTGTTTATACTTGACTCAACTTTGGAACTAAGGAAGGCAAAGTGATCTTGAAACCCTGAGCATCTGGGGAGCTAGCTGTGGGGACTGTGGCAACTGCACTCAAGAGCCAGATTTCTCTAAGGATTACATTCTCTAAAATGAAAGCCTTTCATTCATTTGCTGTCCAATCAACAATCAACCTGCAGTGAAAGGTGTGGGAGGAAGGTCCAGCACAGCCTTGACTCCTGTGCCAGTGTCTGTGTGCTGAGCTTCCCCTTATCTCTCCAAATCTCTGCCCTTTGCCAATCTGGTCCATAACAAGAGGCCAGATGGACCTGTAGCAGGGCCAACACCACGTTACCTGGACAAACTGAGCCTTGGGATTCACACCTGCCAATTGCCAGAGGCCATGGGAGCAGTTGTCTCCAAGTACTGCTGAGGGCCTGGCCAAGGTCAGAGTTCAAAAATGGCCTCTTGAACTACCAAAATCAGCAAAGGCCTGGATACACCTGGACATGCGCTTATATCACAGAGGGCTGGAGCTGCTTTTCAGGAAAAGCTTCCAGAATCAGTAAAACAGTCACACAGATGCAGCCAACTTACTCGGACATCAGAGAGTCAATGACTTTAGCATCATAAGCTCAGAATCTCTGTGCAGAACACAACTCCCTCTGAGGAGATGCATGCACGTTGAGGGGACCAAAGATGGCCATCTACACCTGCGCAAAAGAAACTCCTTTTCCATTAACCAGCCAGCAAGCAGCTTCTCCTCTCCTGGGGCCTGTGACACTGCACCATACCAATAATTGGGGAAGATTTTCAGTTGTCATCCTTACCAGCAACCTCACAATAAAGATATTTTGTTTTGCAAAAGCCCATGCCACATTATAGACTTCTGTGATCCAGATGTTCCTCTAACCCTATGCCAACAAGCCATGGTCCTGCCTTCTTCCCATGTTCTGCAGAAGGAGTCAAGCCCCTTACCTCTGCCAGCCAATCGGCTGACCTTAGCTGCTTGAAAGGGAGGGACTAACGGTATATAAGCCAGGAAAACCACAAGGCCGCTCTCTGTGTGGCTGTTGGGAAACCACCTGCCTTATGTTGGGTGTGGACTTTCGAGCACAGCCGTGAATGGGGGCACCCACTCTTCTGTAAGTAAACCAGCACCCCAAGCTCAGTTAGCAAGTCCAATAAACTCATTAAGATCCTCCAAACTGCAGTTTGGAGAATTCTTGCCCCAGGTTGTCGTGAGGACAGTGGGAGGAGGGAATCGGATGCCACATATGCCTTCTAGCAGTGAATTTAACTTTACAACTTCGTGTACAACAGGTAGCAAGCTCTTGCTTAGAATCCTTGCCACCTCTAGCCGGGTACATGCTGACTGTTGCTTAGCCTCTCTTGGCCAGACTTCTTTGGGAAAGTTGGAAATCCCATGCTGGGTTGAATGTTCTTGTACAACAGTTGTCAGGGTCACACTGCATTATTGCCTGGTCCCCACCAGGCAGAGAAAGAAGTTTTTCTGAAGGGCAGCAGGGGAGAGACTAGCTGAAGCCTGAGGAGAAAGCAGAACATTCATTTATTTACTTATGTATTTATTGGCAGTGCTGGGGATCAAATCTAGGACCTTTTAAGTGCCAAGAAAGCACTCTACCACTGATCTCTACTCCCCAGTTGCTCTAGACCTCTGACCGCTGGCCTTTATGCTTCAGGAAGTAAATTTCAGCTACAAGGCAGAAGCTACTGCAACACTTCAGGCCTGCATCTCCCTGAAGGATGATTGGCTCAGGCAGTGTATAGGAACTGTTTGACAGGAGACCACAGGCGTTCCAGCCCTTCCCTCTGTGGGTGCTAACTGGTGGATCAGGGCTCTAGAAGCCTGACAGAGCTCTATATCACTGATGCTCCCTCTGTCCTTTGAAACCTGCCTGTCTCTCTTTTCAGACCTGAGTTTCCTCTTTCCTGTAGTGGCAGAGGAAAGCGGAGGTGGAATTATGGGCCTTGCAGGAGAATGGGACCTGGAAGGAGGGAAGGAAAGCTAAAAGGAATTTTCTCTCCTCCTTTATTTCCAGGAGTGTCCTGGTTTTTATTGTCAATCTGACACAAACTAGAGTCACCTGGGGAAGAGTGACCCTCAACTGAAAAACAGCCTGCATCAGATTGGCCTGTGGGCATGTCTGTGGGAAACTGTTCTAATGGTTGATGTGAAAGGGCCTAGCCCACTGTGGGTGGCACCATCCCTAGGCAGGTGGGCCTGAGGTATAAGAAAGCAAATAAGCAATCCAGAGGAAACAGGCCACTAAGCAGTGTCCCCCATGGTTTCTGCTCCACTTCCCTCAATGATGGATTGTGACCTGGAAGTATAAGATGAAATAAACGCTTTCCTCCCCTAAGCTGTTTTTGGTTAGTGTTTTATGGCAGCAACAGAATAGCAAACCAGAAGGAGTTACAGTTGTATGCACACCTGTCGCAGACCAGAAACCTGCAGTGAAGGAGGAAAGAGGTACTTCCAGGGAAGGGGAGGAACCCCACAGGAGGGCTGCCCTGAGGGGCCACCAACACTTTCTGGAAAAGGAAAGGTCTGAACTAGGGTTTAAGAGGCATTCTTACCTGGGTGATAGCCAGGTCAGTATGTTGGTGGACAGTCCAGAGCTACCATGATGAGTATGTGTGTGCATGTATGCGTGTATGTTTGCTTTTTTGGTGCTAGTGTTATATTGGTGGCTGGCTTGGCTTTTCATCTAACTACCACTGATTCCTTCCCATCCTCTCCACTGAGCCCCACTCACTCTTCACTCCTCATCCACCCCGCACAGCTACCTCACAGAGAACCTTCGGGAGACCTGCTCCCTCAGGAATAAAGAGCTATCCACAACTTTTCTTTCTGTAATATGAAAACTTTGGACTTTCCTGACAATTTCACTGGAAATTGCTCTTATAAGCATGCCTGCCTGGGGTTTCGAGGGAACCAGACCAAATCCCCTCTTTGGTTTCAAATTGCTACTACCTCTCTTTTTGCCAGTCTGATTTATATAATGCACACAAGAAAATGCAGCTGGTATTCATTCCTTCCAGGTGCACAGTAATTTAAACTCAATGCTATCAATTGGTTACCAAGTAAAAAATGCATCCTGGGCTTGTTTTAATGAATAGATAAAGCTAATTTGTAATTAGTACACTTAGTTGTTAATATGCAAATGAAGCCTGTTTTCTGTAATTAGCATCAATACTTGATTGCTAAGGATGCTGCCAGGGTTCTCATTTAGGTTCCCAATGGCCTGAGGACCCTGGACCTCTTCCAGCTGCATTCTTGTCTGCACCTCCTAGGCAGCTGGACCTGTGTTCCTTTCTCCACCACCAGTCCCCTGTAGGAAAGCTGCTCCTCGGTCACCAACCTAACCTTCTTTCCTTCTCCTTCAGCAGGGTCCCCACACATCAGACATGCCACCGTCCCTCCACAGTTGCCCCCCTCTGAATCTTGGGCCTCTTCCTAACCCCCTCTGTTCTTCCCCCAGCCTGCATCCCAATAATTTCTCAGGCTGTGGTTGTGAAATCTGGTATCCACCCACTGTGCCTCCAGTGATACCACCCTCTTCTCAGAGGCCTGTGGGAGGCATCTCCTTTCTCAGCCTTTCAACTTCTTACCTTGTAGCCAGTATGGTTTCCCCAAACCACCTCTTCACATCTTTCAAGTCTCAGTTTCAACATGGTTTCCTTCAGAAAGAGATGTAAATCCCTGCTTCCCCATACCTGCCACAAACACCCTGTCTACCATCCCTGTGGCACCTGACTCCTACCCACCCCATGAAAGAGGAAACTTTGTCTTCACTTTTCATTTCCATTAACTGACCAGGAATTCTGGATCAGGAAGGGCTGAGGGACTTCTTATCTAGTTTTATTCCTGTGTATAGATAAGCACAGTTCATTCCTGCAGGGCTGGACAACAGAACTAGAGGAATTACAGTCTGAGACCTTCTTACCTCTGGGCTGTGACCCCTCGGCCCAGCAGTGGGCCAGTTTCCTGAAGCTTGGCCATGTGTATAATAAGCCTTGCCTCTGTAGTCCACATCTGCAGCCACCAGCCCCATAGGCAGATGAAGTCCTCTGACAGCAGCTCTAAAAACAAGAGCAAGATTTTTCTCTCTGGGAGAAATGGAAAATGTTTTCTCTGGAAAAACATCTTTTCGGTGTAGAAGATCAGAATATGAATAGGATGGGGGAGTGGTAGTGAGGGGCTGTGAAGGAGGGGCTGGGCCCACAGCTTGGACCATTCTGAAAGGGCTGGCTGGCCAGGAAGCTTGTTTTCTTTCTCTACAAAATGACAAAATCACTGTAGGGACATTTACATCCAGAATTTCTTTAACATTTTAAAATCTCTGAAATCATCAAAAATAAAAGTATGTCCCATGTGTGCCTCCAGGCTCCTCTTGGGCATCTTCCACTTATGATACTTGATCTGAGCAGCACTTGTCTAGGGTGCTGGTCTGACAACAGTAGCGATGGCCTTTGATGAGGGTCATTGATTTATGCTGGTTCACTGGGCTGTGACTTTGTGTGGTGGAAGCCAGGCTCTAGGCCTCAGGCTCTCCCTCTATTTGGAGGCTACTCCAGTACTCCAAATGCACCATTAGGATTGGTCACCAGAACTAGGTGTTTTAGCCCACATTCATGGCTTGGATGAAGCCAGTGCTTTTTTAGAAAAACATTTCTCTGGGGTTGGATGAAACAAAGCAAGGTACATGTGAGCTGCTGGCTTGTCCAGGGAGAGTGGAGAGGGATGACCAGGCTGTCTTATGCAGTTAGTGCTCTGCTTAGGGGCCGCCACTGCACTGTGCTGGCCCTGACCTTGCAGCATCTGGGTGGCTGTAGGCTCAGGTTTCTGCTCATCATGGATCCCCCAGTTCAGATTTGAAATGACCTGAGGACTTTCTTCTCTCCTAAACCACAGCAAATGCCACTATTGAGCTACTCAAAGAAAGCAGGAGCCAAGTCTCAGGTACCTGGCCATGTGGTCCTAAGCATGTCACTAAAGAACTCTGAGCACAAGTCCCCTTCAGAGAGGCCAATGAGGACAGTATCCCAGAGTAAGTAGCTCACCAGTGGCCATGGTCCTTCTTCCAAGAAGTGGTCCCACAAGCCAACCAAAGGCCACCTAGCAGCAATATGTCCCTTTGATTTCTTGCTCAGTTATTACTCAGCAATGCAGTCACACTGGCCATCTCCTCCACCCTCCAATTCCCCCTGCCATCAGCCCCAGTACATGTGTCATTTACAGCTCCTGAGTGCTTCAGTGATAGTGAAGTCAGTTTTATATCCTAACTGCAGTCTCTAGTATGATTATGGTTAAACTGGCTCTGCCTGAGCTGAAGCAGTAAATGCTGCCAGGTAAACGTTCAACCACTGAGAAGAAGCCACAGACATGCTGGTGGGACAGACCAAACTTGCAGATTTCCCCTGCAGCAGCACTGTTTTTCTACCAGTGGCAGGCTTAGCTAATCACGTGAGTCATTTTAAATAGCCTGAGAAATTACCATTGATTAAAAAGCATTGATTTTCTGCACCACAGTAACACTTTAAATCTCTTTTCTGAAAAAAAAAAAGAGAGAATGAAAAGAATAAACCCTCACTCCAAAGCATAGGGGTAGAGGAACTCATACAATGAAATCAACACACTATTTACCTGTGTCCTATGACCTCAGAAGGACGTTTTGCTTCTGTCCAGTAAACTAAAATTCAACTTCGCCCAGAGAAGAGGGGACTGGTGTCTCCAGGCGCCAGAGCCATGGCTGTGTGACAGGCCACAGGGATACCACCTCCAGCTGGGGCACTGGCCAGATATGGAGGACCTGGGAGGAGGCGAGCTGCCAGCCTGTAGCCATGTGTGCCTACACCTCCAAATCGGGGTCCTGTAGTGGGCTTATCTTAGCATCTGGCTTTGTTCCTGAAATTACAGATTTTTAGAAGGAGATTTGACTGTCAGCACAGTTCTCAACTTTGAGAAATAAATCTCCCCAAGCACGTATGACAATTTAATTTCTAACTATCATCGATACACTTTTCCAAGCCAATCTTATTTCTGTGACCTTTAGTAATCTTTTTTTCCCCACAGAAAATGCTCATGGTTAACTAAAACAAATGTACTGTCATATCTTTTTTTCTATACTGTTAAAAAAAATCCCCACTATCCTTTACTTCAACTCCTTCTACCACCCCGAGCGCCCCCAACCCCCAACTTTTATACTTGGTTTTCAGCTCAAGCAGATTTAATTATTTACTTATTTATTTATTTTTAGAATGCATCAGTTAAATCTGTTCATCTTTTTTGAGTTGGAAGGACTGGAAGAAATCACACGTCGTTTCTGATGTGAGATGCGCATGGGCGGTTTGCATCCTGCCCAAAGATAGCTCAACTTCGTTTTGAGATGTTTCGCTTTCTTTGGCAATCAAAATCAAACTTTTCTAAGTAGACATGTGCCTGTGGGTTATACAACTCTGAACACATCAACATTTGCTGTGGTCTTTGCCTCACCTCAGATAAACTTGTGCACTGCGGAGGTGTGAGCCAGAACCTGTATTCTGGGAGACTTGGGCCCATCACACTGGGAGGAGAGAGGACAGGCAATTGCAGTTAACCAAGCTTAGAAGAAGACTGTGGGCAGAGAAGGAAGAACACAGGAGGGGGAGAGCTCAGTTTTGGCGTATTCAGGTTGAGGTGACTATTAGACATCCCAGTGAAGATGTCAACCTGTCAGCTGGATGTCTGAGTTCAGCACTCAGGAATGAGATCCATACTAGAAATGAACTTGGAAATTTGGGTCTGGATGGTGTCCATGTTCAGAAATTAGGATGGATCACGTGGAGCAGAGGCCAGTGGACTGTGCCTGGGCTACTAGTAGAGGTGGGATGGTGAAGGGGGTGTTCAGCAAGAAGGAAGGTTGAGACAGACAGAGCAGTCATAAGTGGAAGGGAGGAAAACCAAGAGGCCACAGTGGCCTGGGAGCCAAGTGCAAAAAGGGCAACAGGAGGGAGGAGCGATAGGCTACAAAGCAACTCTGTGTGTGAGTGTGAGAGAGAGTGTGTGTGTGTGTGTGTGTGTGAGAGAGAGAGAGAGAGAGAGAGAGAGAGAGAGAGAGAGAGGAAGAGGAAGGAAAGGGGGAGAGGGAGAGAGAACTGGTCAGTGTGAAGATAGTTTAATGTCTGAAAGACTGCTCTCAAATCCCAATAGTCTCTTTGAATATTTAGTAGTCACTATCAACAAGAAACTTTGCACATGTTGGAATAAAAATTTTAAAACATTTTTTGCAACCTTTCAAAAATGTCAACAGTTGAATCTATATTTAAAGAATAATCTTTTCTCATTTTTTACAAATTTCTTGCGAATTCTGCTGACATTTCTTGTGAAGACACAAGTGGACTTCTAATGTGATGGGCATTTTCATACCAGTTCTTTCAAATACTGATGAGGCCCTGGTGTGCAGAGCACACACTTTGTAAAATCTGTCTCCCAGTACTGGAATTGAAAGCCTCCCAAAAAAAACTATCACCTGTGAGGACCGAGATTCAGTCCCACTCCTGGGTCCCTTAGCAGCCTACCAGATACCCACTTTAGCTCAGCTGCATTTGGACCATGTGCTCACTAGCTGTTCAGGGGCTACTGCCCAGCCAGCACAGGTTGCAGTTGGCTATCTGGCTGGCCTAGCCATTTCCATGGCGGATTGTACAAGACTGTGGATCTGACAGTGGTCACTGTGCCTTCATCTGCAGGCATAACAGGCTGCTCCTGCTCAGAAGCCCAGAGGGATCCCAGGGATAGAAGCCAGGGGCCAGACCTGTAGGCTTCGAGGGTAGACACTTGTCACCACTGGCAACAAAGTGCTGGAATCTTGAAGTAATGGTTGGGGACAGCTCAGGTCCTCAGTCTGTGTGCCCACATAGCCATCACCCCTGCGAATATTTGTCCACTACTGACCAAGTCCCAGCACCTCCTTTTCCATTTTCACCCCTCATCACACTTCTAAGGTCCCCCAGAAGCCTTCCCAGCCTTATCCTCCGTCCTTACCTCTCAGGCCTCTCCTGGAGAGTTACAACTAGTTCTGGCCTCCTCCATCAAGTAGCACTTCTGGCTCTGTGGGCTGTATCTTCTTGAGCCTCTTGCTACTTCTCAGCTTTAATTTCTTTGCATCGCTTCTTGCTGCCTTACTTTCTCTACTGATCATTGTTCTCTTCCATCAACTGATGGGATGGGGTCCTCAGACCTCTTTTTACTTCACATCTGCTACTGACTGCATCATCATCACTCCCAGAAGCAGAGGGGCCAAGCCCTGTTCTCCCTGCTGGTGTCCTTTGCACAACCCCTGTGGCTCACCTAAAGGCACCCATCAGACTTAATGGGCTCAGAAACTTCTCTTCATGCAGCTGATATGGCTTTTCCTCGCACCTCATTTCTGTTCAGGGTGCCACTGCTTCCCCACCCAAATCCTCTGCTTGTGAGGGTCTGAGTGCCTTTAACAGTCATCCCCTCTACTTCTGTACTGTTAGCCTTGTCCAGGCTTCAGCCACTCTCTGATATAATTTTCTCCCTTCTGCTGCTCATATTATTGCCAGATTATTCTCACAAAAGTTTTGGCTTAAAATCTTTCAGTAGCTTACTATAATTCATCAAATGTTTTTTCTTTCAATATATAGTTTTACTGAATTTTTCTGCATTTCATAGATCTTAATCATATTTAGACACCCCCATCTGCAGTCCCCCCAGAGCCCTTCTACCAGATTTCATGCATTCTGTCATATATGTGAAGATCTAATGAGTCAAGTTTGTGTCCCCAGATGTCCCTTGGTATGGTGTAAGGTCATCCACTGGAGCCTGGTCAGCATATCTAGCATGGGTCCCTTAACACCAACTATCCCTCACCCAGCAGTGATCAGCTGCCAATGGTTCCTCAGCTAAGGTTGGGGCTTATTACTATTTCCCCAGTTCTATGCTTTGTTTTTGTCTGGTGTGACTGTGCATGGGTAAACGTAGCCTTCTTGGTCAGACATTCAAAACCCATAATCTGTATAGCGGACTTCACTTGTGACTTCTAAAAATACTTACTAAACTCCCATACTTTGTGCCTGACTAGGATAGGTGGTGGAAACATAATCACAGATAAAATAAAATTCTTCCTTCACATACAAGTTGAATTCTAGAGAGGGCAGTCAAATGATAGGCAGAAAGGCAAATCTACATGCCAGATCCAAACGGACTTTGAGAAGTCAGGAGGAGGCATATGTGGATGGAGTGGTGCTTCAGACAGACAGTAGTGAAAGAGCCTCTATGCAGATTCATGATGCCTGTGGAAAGAGCATTATAGATAAGTGCAGATAAACCTCAAATTCCTAGAACGAGAGCTTAGCAAGTGGGACACAGCCAAGAGCTGGAGTACTCAACAGAGTGAACAAGAGGATGAGAGAGCGACTAGGAGCGGCAGGGAGCAGGTCATGCTACTCCATGTGGACTAAGATGTGCATCAGGACTTTGTGCTGAATGAGGAAGGAAGCCTGGGAAGGTTTTAAATAGCAAAGTGACCTGTTTTATAAAATACTACACTAACAACAGTGTGGAGACTAGATAGAGAGGGAGACATGGGTAGATGCTGGATAGACAGAGCAGGGTGATGGCTGCAACAGTCTGAGTAGAGATGAGATGGGAGAGCTGCAGAGACAGAGAAGCTGGGAGGTGGGAAGAAGATCTGGGGAGCTGGAGAAGTTGGGGAGCTAGAGGAGCTGTCATATTTTGAAGGTAATGCTGACAACATTTACTGATGAACTGGGTGGAAATGTGAGAGAAAGAAAAGAGTCAAAGACAATGCAGAAGCAACTGAAAAAAAACGTGACTGATATTAACTGAGCTTGGAAGAAGACTGTGGGCAGAGAAGGAAGAACACAGGAGGGGGAGAGCTCAGTTTTGGCGTATTCAGGTTGAGGTGACTATTAGACATCCCAGTGAAGATGTCAAGCTGTCAGTTGGATGTCTGAGTTTAGCACTCAGGAATGAGATCCATACTGGAAATGAACTTGGAAATTTGGGTCTGGATGGTGTCCATGTTCAGCGGTTAGGAGGGGTCATGGACAGGGATTAGGTGGCGCATGGACAGAGGCCAGTGGACTGTGCTTGGGCTACTAGTAGAGGTGGGAAGGTGAAGGCAGTGCTCAGCAAGAAGGAAGGCTGAGACAGACAGACAGACAGACAGACAGACAGACAGACAGACAGAGCAGCCATAGGTTGGAGGGATGAAAACCAAGAGGCCTGGGAGCCAAGTGCAAAAAGGGCAACAGGAGGGAGGAGCAATGGGCTACAAAGCAACTGTGTGTGTGAGTGTGAGAGTGTGTGTGTGTGTGTGAGAGAGAGAGACAGAGAGACAGAGAGAGAGAGACAGAGAGAGGCAGAGACACAGAGAGAGGAAAGAAAGAGAAGGAAAGGTGTGTGTGTGTGTGGGGAGAACTGGCCAGTGTAAATGAACAGGACCTGCCACAGTGGGCATCACCAAATCTGTGGAAATGGGACTTTGCTTTGCCATTCACTTTAGTGTATCTTAGAAATGTCCCATCGAGGAATGAACACCTGTGTGATATATTGACAGCAGGTTGTTTATGAAAGGGCATTTGAGTCTGTGCAGAGTTCTGTGGCAGTGACAACAGGCTCTGCAGAGATGAGAGCCTGCTGGCAGAGGGAGGGATGTGGAGTGACCAACAGCACTCAGCTCCCCCAAAGTCTTTTGTGGGAAAGAAAAGAGAGGAATGGGCCACAGTTAGAGAGAGATCATGGGAGCAAGGGTAGCTAGTTAGTGTATTAGTTCTAGACAGATTATAGCTATATTTCTAGCCACTCTCCTTTCACAAAGCTATGGACAAATCCTCATTGCATCCTTTCTTCTCCCTACTCTCCACAGTTCTCCTACCTACTCAGGAAGGCCTAGATCATGTTTCCAAGTATCCTATTTCTACCTACACACAACACTGTCCAGAAACAATAGGAGTTTGGCTGTAGTGTCTTCAAATGGGATCTCTCTGTAGCCCTCACCTTGATATTTACATTGGAGAGCAAACCCACACAAGGAACCCTAGATGGCTCTTGGAAGGAAAGCAGAACTTCTATGAAATTATAGTTTCTTATTCTTTTGGATCCTGGAAGACAACATTCAATAGTAGCAGCAAGAACAGTATTTTTTTTACTTGCTTCCCATTTGCAAAGAAGGCTACAAGCACTGATTCACCTAAGGGGAACTGGAGTTCATTTTTAAAACTAAAAAACTGGAGCAGGGGCTGGTGAGATGGCTCAGCGGTTAAGAACACTGGTTGTTCTTGCAGAAGACCCAAGTTCGAATCCCAGCACCCACACGGCAGCTAACAACTGTCCGTAATTCCAGTCCCAGGGGATCCACCAGCCTCTTCTGACCTCCGTGGGCATTGCACCATACGAGTTCACTTACCTTCAGGCAGCAATACACGCATGCACATAAAATAAAAATAATAGATTAAAAAAAAAAAAAAAAGAACTGGAGCAGTTACCAAAGGTTCTTTCTTTGAAAACATTGGGAAATGGGTTGGAAAGGGTAGGTTGATCTTTTTAGTTTATGACATGGCAAGTTCAATGAAAGTGCACTAAAAAATAAGACATGATCAGAAAAGACTACCCTCCTTTTTGCCTCCCTGCAAGCATGGTGCAGTGAGGGGGAAGATGGGCACTCCACTAAGGTATGTCCTGCTTAGAAATTTCCTTCAGAAGTACTTGCTTTCAGTGGGAAAGGCAAGAACAGAAAAGATGCTCTTGATGGGATTAAATACACCAGAGATGCATCAGACCTGGACCTAGACATGAAACAGATGCCATTAGTGCTTCTGTTACAAAGAGAGACTACAGCAACATAAACACATTCCTGAGGCTAATCTGAGGGAAACTACAACACAAAGGGACATTTGCATTCCTGCCCTAACTGCTATCAAACACTAGGGTCATAAACAACCCAGTCTCACCATTATGTCTAGAGCCCCCTGTCCTGAGAGGAGACCCAAAGAAAACTTCACACATGTGGCTCCTCACAGACCATCTGTAGCAGGACCACATACTGAGTCGTGCGATGAAAGGAGGCTGGGGCTGTGGCATCATGCACAGAGGCTGCCTAGCTCAGTCATGGACCTCTGTGAAACCTGCAAAGTCACAAAACTAGATACCAATCTAGACTGCAGGCTGGAGCCACGCAACCCAGGGCATTCCTGTCACCCGCTCCGGTGCTCTATAGTGGTGCATGCATACACGAGGTTCTGAAAGATCACTTTGGGGCCATGATCTAAAGAAAAACAGTGTACCAAGGTCACAGTTGGAAACAATCATGATTGTTAGTGTAACTTAGTGTTAAACCTAATTCCTTTTTCTATGTTGCATGTGGTCAAGGTAATTTCTGCTCCTTAAATAGATGAATTTTGGGCTACAGAAATGTTAGCCCAGAGGTTACAGTGCATACTGTGTTTATAGAGGACCCATGTTTGGTTCTCAGCACCCATCCAGGTAGCTCACAACTGCCTGTACCTCTTAACTCCTGAGCTTCACTCTACTTGGGCATTTTTAAACACTCAGGTAATCCCAATTTTTTTTTTACCTAAGTGCATTTTGCATGAAAGCACAAGAGGATCACCTCTATGAGCTCTGAGGTGACCTTCAGTTATACAACCATGAGCTTCCTGCTCCTTTGAGGGTTTCCATGTGCCCTTCCCACTTACAAACTGGGCAGCAGATTCCACTGTGCAGCTGAGGTGCTCTGCTGTAGGGTCCCCAATATGGGCTAGGACAAAGATCTTACCAGCCTAAATGACAAGTATTCTATACAAAGGTCTGTACTTTCTTGTAAAGTAAGTCCTTTTCACTGTCAAGATTCCCTTTATTTTATTAAATGATGGCCACATAATTTTTAAAAAATGCCTTTCCATGAAAAATAGCTGTTAAGTTCAGATGCACGCATATATTGAACCATGAAATCTGGAAGATTAGGTGGTCTGCTTGATCCCCTTTACTACCACCTCACTATCATGCGTGGTGATCACCTGGTATCAGGGGAAGGGAAGGAGACAACAGGGTTAAACCAAGGCTGGCAACGACAGGCTGCCAAAGTATCAGAGGGGACAGCTACCTGCCACAATCAAGAAGTTTAAACACCATGCTTCCTAAACACAGCTTTGGAATTCAGTATTGGGAGACAGTATTAAACTTCCCTTTTTAGCAGCTTAGCCACATTTAAATGCTGTTGAATAAATAGTTAAATGAGATCCCAAACTGTACTCACTCTCCTGCTGTCAACTTCAGCTCCTTCTCCAGAGGCAAGTGACACTCATCACAGCAGCAGCAAAAAAATCCACTGAGGCAGGCGGGACCCTATGGAAGTGGCACTCCACAGGGACTGTGAAAAGCCGTTTAGGTGACGACTGTGTTCGAGTCCAAGACCTCTTTGGGTCTTAGCTCACAACTCAGTCCCACATTCTTATCTAGAGGTTAAGAAGGTCACCTTCCTGACACACTCTTAGGTCCTGGGTGAGCACAGGAGATGTACACAGAGCCATAGTTGGATCAGAAAGCTTCCTTTTGGTCATTGGCCAAACCTTGACATTTTATAGACGTTAAAAAAAAGACGAAGGGTTTTGGACAGAGAACACAGAACTGGTAAAATGCCTAGCCTAGATTTGTTTCTGGGTTCAGCCCAAAGCTTTTTCCAGCACAGCAGTTTCTTGGCTAAGTTGGTGATTTTCAAGATTTTTTTTTTTTTTTTTTTTTTGGTGGCCAGGAAAAACTATACACATTGTTCAACTGTTGATAACATTTAAAGATGGCAAAGTCCACATCAAAATGCATAGTCAACACAAACGTTTGCTGGTTCATTACTTCAGGACATTTACTACTAAATATTGTAAAACACATGAGTGAATTCTTATCTGGTTGGCTGCTAAGATGAGGTAGATAAGCATAAATATATAGAGATATACCTCTACCTCAGAATTCAAAAATAAAAGGTTCAAACAACCGCTACTGCATCAATCATATTTTTCAGGAAACAAAATCGATTTTCCAAGTCTTTCTGATAGTCCCTAGAGTGCACAGATGGAGCACACTGGGTGTGGCTGACAGCAGCAGGAGCCGATGCCAGCAGCTGAAGGGAGGGAGACAGGGCAGACACACTGGGATTTTAAATCAGCAGTTTTATTACAATACACACTGACACAGAGAGAAGGAATGTTCTGACATTTTTGAGCATTTCATGGAAAGCAAATGTAACCCATCAAGGCAGTGCTCAGCCACACCTTTTCCAAACAAAAAGTCTAAGCTCTTACATGCGATAGTTCAGGAAAGTAAAGCCTTCTTATTCTTATCTAGAAAACTTCAGTCTACAAAAACAGTTGTGAAATGAACTGAGAAGGAAAGGTTTCTTTATGATATTCAAGTCCGGCCTCTAGGCCTCATCCCAACCATCTAAGTGACTGCAACAATAGTTCAGGAGGCTGTATGTTTGGGGACTACATGAGATCTCCTTAGAAGGCCAATGATTACAATGTCATCGTAATTGAAAGGATAAATAGAAAAAAATTGATCTTTTTACATAACTCATTTAAAAAAGGTTATGATTACCATAAGCAAAACTCTATTAGAGATCACTCGAAAAAGCTTGCTTTTTTGTATCTGTCAAAGGGCTCTTCTTTTGTCCGAGCTCAGAAGAAAACAACCTATGGCATGAGAGTTGCTGATCCTGGGGAAGCAGGCCCCAGACCACCTGGAGTCACACAGACCCTGCTTTAGATCCACCTTTTTTTTTTTTTTTTTTTTTTTTTTTTTTTACAAAGG